GCTCTAAATGAAGTTCAACGGTTAAAGGTAGAAGGTACTTTAAAACCTGTTACTCCTACACCCGAAATGCAAGAAAGTGGTTCTGTAACAGTTTCTGCTATTACTTTACCTCTCAAACGAGATTATTTTCGTAGTATGGGTACAAGTAAGTAGAATGTTCAAAGATAAAATTAAAAGCCATATTTAAATTCCACCAGAGAGATCTATTTTTTAAAATTTTTAATTCTAGGTACGTGTTATCACTTTGTTTGTTTGATGCGGTATTTAGAAGAAGTGGTGGTTACGCCTGTAGTTGTAGCAGAACCTGGTGATTCGTGTCTCCGATTTCCATCAACATTGAAACTAAATGATTTATATAATGACTTTAAAATTACTATTGAAATATACTCATTACAGACACAACCAGAGATTTTACCACATGAAATTAAGTATCATATTAATAGTGGTAGTGGAAGTAGTAATAGTAGCAGTAATTGTAATAAAAAGGTAAGTACATACTTTTGTGTACGTATAAAAGTTTACCAAGAATATTTATATTTGATTAAGAATTGAAATATCTTGCAGTTGGTAAATAAAACCCCAAAGAAATTTTTGAAACAAGAAAGTCGATTAGTAATGCCCAGCTTGCAAAGTCCAGCTGGGCCATCTGCTGTTAGATCTCCAGCTTTTCAACTATCTGGTTACGTCATTTTTAGTTTGAAAGAAATACATCGACAACAATTCACATTGAATAAGGTAAGTACAATTAATAATTATTCATTTAATAGGAATGATTTGATGCAAATCTCAATTTTTTAATTAACGCTTTATAGGTACTGCCACAATCCCCATTAGAAGGCCGATTGCAGATGTATGTTTCATGTGAACTTTCGGTAGCAGTTGAACATAGAGGATTTCTTACAATGTTTGAAGATGTATCTGGATTCGGCGCTTGGCATCGTAGATGGTGTTTGCTCAAAGGTCCTACTTTATCATATTGGAAATATCCTGACGATGAGCGGAAAAAGGCTCCCATTGGGAGCTTAGATTTACAAAGTAATTCTTCATTATTTTAATTCATTGCGGTATATTATATGATTTAAATATATATATTTCATTGTTTTATATAGGTGTTAGTACAACAAATGTAGGATTAGTTTCTCGAGATATTTGTGCTCGTCCTAATACCTGTTTGCTTGAAACAACTAGAGCTACAGAACCTGAAGATGTTGATAGTTTAGTTATGGTTAGAAATGGTCCGACAACGACAATTAGGTAAGTGTTTTACAGCTATTTTATTTGATTAATAATACAATTAATTAATCTTTACTTGTTCTTAGGCATCTCTTATCAGCCGATACAAAAGAAGATAGATTAGAATGGTGCTCAAAACTTAATAAAATACTAAATCTGATACATGCTTGGGGTGGGCCATTGACATTATCGCAATAATTTGTAAGTAAAAATATTAAAAAATCGTAGCGTGTCAAAGTGCACTTATTTATCCGTGTAGTGCGTATACACGTTTGTACGCAATATATACTTTTGTATACTAAATGACGCAATTAAATTTTGATTGAAGATAGTTTATCTATATGTATTTGCAAGCTACATATTATAAATTTGATAAATCATGACAAAAAGGTTTTTGCTAAAAATTAATAATACGAATAGTTTTTAATATTAGAAAGTTTAAAGTATAAAAACAGCACAATTTTAATCAAATAACTATTGATAAGTAATGTAGTAAAATATTTTTCATCAAGATAAATAATCTCAAAAAATATAAGGAGTATTTTTTCCTGTAGTAAAATAATTTAAATTAATTTTGTACAAAAAGCAGTTGCAAAACAAAATATGAAAATTGGAAATTATTTATTAAAATCTTAAAATACTATAAATTATGTATGATTTAAAATGGCTTCCTATTTCTTATAATGTGTTTTAATGAATTAATATGATCATGAAATTGAACCTGATTACAATTTTTAATCGTAGGTTGCATCTGAACCTATTGAAAATTCTAATTATGTATCTTAGTACTAGATGTGTAACGTAATTCTTATATTGTAAATAGAAAAATAATAGCGTATTAATATAGCCACTAACAAATATATAGTCAAATATGCATATATGTAAACACAAAGTATATACCATTTTGTACGTATAGCATAGTATCGCTTAAAAATTTTGTATCTGAAAAATTTTTATATTTTTTATTTTCCTATATAAATATTTTGTTTACATTTTATCATCGTTAATCATTTAAAATAAAAAATTATCGAACAATTTTTTTCACATATCCTTTATCGATCCATAGAATTGATCCCTTGTTTATGTATGTGTCAAAAAGAAAATTGTCGTAAATGAATCAGTTGACCTCGTTGCATGTACTCAACACTCTTAAAGGGAGATTGACAAAGTTATAACTCGTACATGTTAATTTGTGTATATATTTATTTGCGCAATTGGTGTTCTGTTACATACATACAGTAAGGGTACAAAAAGATTACTCATTTTCACACGAATTCTAAAGCGTGTAAATGAGCGCTTCGTCGTCGCCTCTTCCAAAATAGATCGTGAATGGAACTTCTAACGCCTCTCGTTCAAAATGTTTACCAATAGTTCCTCAGAACTATTTAAAATAACTTGTTTATACAGTGGCACGCGTTTCACAAATGCAATCAGAACATACATTGCCGTCCTAACTATTTATATCATACAAACGAACGTTTGTATGAATATTTCTTTACTTATTATACTCTTTATTTCAGAAATTAGATCATACATTATTTTAATGATTATTTTTTATCTTAACTATATGTTCTTTGTCATACTATACAATTTTTTTGTAGAATTTGTAATGTTAATAATAAATTAATTTTCTCTAAAATTCACTCCTCTTTTTAAACTTTTGTCAAATTCCATTGTAACATCGAACATTCATTCGATTTCGTGCGTTCCATTCGATCGCTGTTATTGTCATCTCAAATTATAATTTTAATGTTAATAAACGTGAAAAATAAATGATAAGTACATAATGCTGAAGAAAATGAACTGATTGCTTCGAACCGACGATCAATACTTTCGAGAATGATCACGCTTGTGAACAGTGAATCGCGTGCCACGCGATTTTAAGGTACGTATACGATTACTTTAATACACTTATGCTAGCTTGTGTCGATGATCGGAAAGCCCTAGATAAGGATAGTGCGAAACTTCAGTTCTTAGGTTTTCCTATTTCGAAACGAGATTAATAGTGGGGTGGAATCCATCCTTGTCAGCGGTGTAATCAACCCTTTAATCAAATAATTATGTTCTTAATACTATATCCTTTATTACTATTAGAACGGAAAGGTGTAATCTTTCTGATTCTAACATTTGGCGATAAATTACGAAATTACAAAACAGGAGTCTAAAATCTGTAGCTTATAACTTAGTAAGTTATTAATATCATTATTTGTTAAATTATTATGCAAGAGGATCCAGGACGCACATACGTGTCCTTAAGCCATTTAAAATTAAAAACATTTGAAATCCTCTCATATTATTTAAGACTATGTATATTGCCTTTTTTATTATTTATATAGTAAATTCATACTTTATGTTTCATTATCACGTTTAATTATTACTCATAGAAATGATTAAAGTACATATCAAGTTTTATATAAGTATTTAATTATAATTAAATCCAGTACGTTTTGTGAATAGTTACCTATAAGTGTGGCCATCTGGCGCTGTGAAGGAGAAGCTACCGGTAACGTCAAGTGATTCATCGTCAGTACCTTCGTTTTTCAATTCCGCAGTTTCTTCCCTCTTTTGGCCATCGCTCTGTTCGTAACTAAAGTGATATCCACCTACTCCAATATTGTTTTGCTCCTCCTGTTTTACTATCGTGATTTCATTTGGATTCAATTGGGGCGCAGCGAGAGCTCCCACTATCGCTGTCACGAAGATGAGGATCTGTATATATAAAGATTACTTAATGATTTAATAACATTAACTTTTAACTATTACTAATTTCTATTTTGAAAAAAAATATTCAATTTTTCTTTTATAATTGTATATTCAGAATTCTATGGAAAAAATTAACTTCTTCCAGATTTACAAATTAATCGTTCGTAATACTCCGATACGATTACCCGACATAAATACGTCGCAATTCGACAACGGTTTTACTAAATGTTATTTTTATAAAATTACGTGTCACGTTACAAAACGTGAATGTTGAAACCCAATGTACATCTCAACTCAATCTGAGGCTCATCACTACCATAGAAGACGTTTCAACGATTTTATTATGTAACCAGCATGTAATCGGTCGATTGGGCATGTTCTGTCCAGACTCAAACCCGGACTTTTTCAACGATTTCTACTACCACTCGAATTATCCAGACTATAACAACAAATCCCGAGGAGTGTCTAACGTTTCAAAATACTACCTTATTGTGTTACGTACAACGTAATACGGATAAATTATATCAATACATGGATGATGTTACATCATATCAACGCTCACATGCGAAGAATATAATTGGAAAAAAATATATGGTTACGGTATCACAATGGAAAATGTAATCGACTTTAAGGTAAATCGGTTCCGAACTCGAAGCTTATTTTTCAAGCAAGATTCGCAACGGCCTGTTATCGTCTCGGCGAAATTACGATTAATCATCGGTGCGTGAAACATCGCCACACGCACAAATGTCACAGTCCTCTTCACTTTCACTGTTACGTAAAAAAATTTCGGAGTCTGCGGGGCCGAAATCATCGGCTGCTCCCTATCTGTAACGAGAGAACGCGGAACGGATTCAAGCGACGCCTAACGTGTTACGATTTCTTCTTGTATCTAGATGCGCAACCCACCGTCTTCATGGCAAGAACTTTCTCGTGCGAACTGCACTTTTCTGTCCCTTCGTCCTTAAACAACGACCGATACGTGATACCAAGGATCCACGGTGCATCTGCCTTTATATAGCCGGAAAATCACGGGTGTTGCATCCCCACCTGGCATTAGACTTGTCGGAGATTCGCGGATCAGTCTCTCCCCTAACGGTGCTAAGATGCATTCGAGATGCAACGGTGCAAGTGTCTTTCCTCCGGAGTAGCGTTTCTTCGCTTTGTTAATAGGCTCTTGCGCTGTAAGAAAGTCGAATATCCCGATAGAAGTTGCAAACAAGCATAAGAAGAGTTTTACAAAATTGGAGCTAAATTATTATCGAGAATTATGAGAAAAGAAAATGTTAACACAATGTAATAAGAAAAAGATATTTTTATTTATCCTATTTATTCAAAATGATACTCGAAGTACGTCATGACAAATGAAAAATGTATCTGATGACAAGAAACGGCGTTAGAAATTATGTCATTGTATATGAATATTAATGAAATAGTGATAACACATTGAATTATATCTGTGCCTTCCTTTCCCTTTTTTTATTTACATTGCTTAAATAATAGATCAAGGAAACATTTGTTCACGGAATGGAAATACGTAGGCTTACTATTGATCATTATCATAGGTTACCACTGACCCACGTGGCAGAGAACATGTTAAAGACATTAGTGCTTATGAGTAGAGTTAAAGCGTAGCTTGTTCGCCTCTACGTTGTTTGGTAAGGTATTATTTGCATGTTTCACGTTTCACTGATGTCGTTGTCTATTATAGGTGTGATCTTTGCATTACATGAAAATAGTTGGTGTCGATAAAGAAAAATGACATTGTTTGATGTGGGAGGAATGATGTTGCATGATGTAAAAATTGGGGAGGAGGAGGATTTTTCTGGTAAAAGGTCTATGATAAATATATAGCTGCTGAATGTATTTTATAGTCAGATAGTTGGCTTATTATATAGTGAGTTTAACTGCTGATTATACACCAAGGTTCGTTTTTGTCGTGAGCCTTCAGTTGTAAAAATTCAATGTAATTTTAATTTTTTAAATTGGTCGTCTCATTTTTTAGAGGACGCGTCATTATCGTTTGTGATAGATGTTCTTATATTTCATCCTAAGAAATTTTATTTTATAATTTTTACTTTATTTTATTTTATAATATTGTGAAATATTATTATTCCTCCAATACAGGTTTCTTTCCGCAAGGAACTTCTTCTTCTGTAAAAATATATTTTCTCTTCTAATGAAAAGAAAAGATATTATCCATAGAGCATCAGTTATTTTATTGATATAAAAATTATCTGTCTGAATAATACTATTAAGACATCATCTACCTTGTGCAATAAATTACCTGCGTTTAATAATAATTTAATTTTGCAGGTATTAAATCTCCTCGATAAACGTTCGACTAGGAAATGGCAAATTGGCGAAAGAGTATGCTAAAAGATTTTTTCACGTGTTGACATTAAAACGTATTTCTGAATGATGTGACTGTTTAACGAAATCGATTGCACGTTCATTGGGCAAGTGGTTATTCCCGGTCGAAATGGCATTTGTGCACCTGCTATTCCTGCCATTCAAATATTACAATGAAACGTATCTTTGAACTGGACTTTACTGAAGGAACTTCGTCAGCAATGTCAAGGACCTTTTGCTTCTCTGTGTAGTAAAACGATAGTTCCTGTTCACACAGAGTATATGAGTCGAGTCACGTCAAGTTCATCTATGTTTAGATTACAATAACACTTACCTTGTAAATTGAACTTTGCTAAATATAGATAATCGGGAAATTCATCTACACTTACGTCTATTAACTAGGAATTTTATAAATAGTCGAATAGTCAGATTCAAAAATTATCTTGTATTTTATCGACACAGGAACATAAAGCGTCAATTACAAGAAGATTCTTCATCGATCAATCGCGGTGCCAGTTGACCACGTTGAATATACGTTTTTCATTTTCCAGTATAAAAATAAAATGACGAATAAAAACCCGTCATCGTTTACTATACTATAACTTTGGATCAAGTTTCATGCTATCGATATTTATGATTCATTGACTGTTTCCTCTTTTTAATAGTTTAAATAAGTAGTCTCTTGGTTGTGACTTTTGTAATCGATAAGATAATGATTCATGATATTTTCTATCGATATAATTTAAAGTAGTTTTCTCTCTTTAAAATGCAGAATTATTTATTGAAGAGATTCTTACACGGATCCAAGTCTCCTCTGAAGAAAATAATGAGCTGGGATGTTCATGAAATATCGGTACACAGCAAGATGTACTATTACAAGCGTGATCGAAACGCGAAGAATCACAAACATGTCATCCAATAAATTTATAGTTAACAAAGAACCAATTTTTCTCACAAAACAAAATATTTAGTCCCGGAAGGGCTAATCAACGTTTCAAAAAACCGTAATTATATTACGAGAAGCTGGAGATGGTTCGTTCGTAATAGTAACTCTTTTCTTTTTCTTTCTTTTTATTCTTTTCGTTGAAGAGGAGACGTGGAACGGTCTTAACATCTAACTCACAAGATATTAACGATTTCGTAAGCCGAATGATCCCCGGAGACTCATCGGATAGACAAAGGCGTAGAAACCGCGGCTACCTGTTGCTTTACAACCGAATGTGAAAGCCGAATCTGCGAACCAGCCAATACCTACCCCCCTAGCTCGTTTGGTCGTCGAAGTCGAAGCCTCGAGGCAACGTACACGCGGCCGTGCGTCCTTGGTAATTGTGACATTTGCTTTTCTCGGCGCGCGTACAACAGCGAGAAGAGCCGAGGAAAGTTAGTGACGTAACTACCGGTGACCTTGCCATTTCAGAAGAAGATACGGAGGATGCCTCCGGCTACCGCGTCTCCAGGCGTCTTCTCTCCTTCCCTTCACTTCTTTTTCCCTTTCCTTTGCTTCCGTGGATGTTACAGTGTATCGAAAATCATACATATTATACAATTCTCTCTCTCGTTAGTTTTCGCCTCGAAAAGTAAAAATATACGTATGCCTTCATTCATAAGTCACTTTAGAAACCTTGCCAATTTTGAATAGAATGCTCATCGAAGTAGGTTTTTTAGGAAGATTCCAAATCGAGAATACGGGAATTTATACGACTCTTCATTTTACTTTTTCTTAGGTATCTCTTCGGTTATGTAATTTTTTATATTTACTATTGTAATGTTAACGGGCGTTGGAAGATTGAACGCAAAGGATTTCAGGCAAATGACCTATTGTCACTAATTCGGTATTCTCTTTCAGAGTTACTCGTACAAATTTTGTTTTACCTATGTTTAATTTATTGTACATTAATACTGGATTACAAATATTATAAATAAAGAGAAATCGTTTTTTCGTTAATAAAATTCATAACAAATAATTTCTATTTTATCTGAATTCTTCTCCATTAAATTTCAAAATAAACGTAGTTTTCAAGATCAAAGATTTTTGTTTGAAAACCAATTTCCAATTACATTTCAAGCGAAAAAGCTTCAATCTAATCTCAACCTTATTTGAATTATTTTATTGCTGTATTCAATCTGAATAGTTTAAATTGCATTGCATTTGACTTCTAAAATTCCAATCAATATTATGCAATTCCTCGACGATACAGATCGATTAGAATTCCTGCCAGCTGTACGCGTCATCCTGAATGATTAACGTCCAATAAATTTTTGTCTTGAACAAAATATATTTGCTTGTATTGATAATTGCATAAAAATGTTACTGGCACGTCTTTTATTCGTAATTAAAAATTTATGAAACCCGAGAAGTTGCTAACTATGTTTTCACATTTAATGATGGTTCGTGTTATTTCAAGTAGATGCCATAATAGACGGTCAAAGGGACTTCGAAGCATAATGAGAAGCATCTGAAAGTGAAATCGTTATAAGGATATTGAAATGTCAGTTTAGTCATTACTTGTACGCATTTCCGTGTAATGATCATCTATTTTTTATTAATTCTCCTTTCGAAAATATAGATTCGTTTGTATAATTTAATTTTTGCTCACAAGTATCGTCGTTGAAGATATTTTAATTTAACAACAATAAAATAAATATTAATGATTTATCAAATAACTGTCTTGTGTAATTTTTTAAATAATAATTTATCAGTACATAGTTAGGAAACTAGTAATAAAAAGTAATTAATGTTATTGTTTTAAAAATAATATATAGTAAAATCTGCCTTTGAATTTTTATTTTTAAATTGTATGTCATCCAAAATATTAATGAAGATGAATGATTAATGGATTGAAAACGACCATATATAAACTGCGAATGTTTATGCAACTTCACGGTTTACTTAATAAAAAAATTGAACTTCAATGTTGTCAGAATTATACTTTAACAAAGTTGTTAATTTATCTTTTTCTTTCTTTTGGTTTCTTTGGTTCTCTTTTGGTTTCTTTTGGTTTTCTTTTGGTTCAATTCTATATTTTTTATTTTTTGTAATGAATATGGAATTTTTATCCATCAAGTTTAGTGAATAGATTAACAGATATTTTTTAAAGTATGTACATATTTCAGTAAGGAGTAATTACATCTCGTTAGATAAATCTATTGTAATATTTTCAAATGTTTTTTTAGTAGCAATTAGTAGTCAATTAATTATTATCGGTATCGATGATTTATGCCTGTGTCATCGATTTCAGGAAATATGAGAGGAGTGGGGGAACATTTATCGGAATAATAGGTGTGACTGTAAATTGCAAATCTAAGGAAATTAATATTGTAATAGGTATATAAAGCATTTAAATTAAACGGTAGTCAGCCAATAAGAATATATTTGTACATATACTTTAAACATGATCGTTCGTTTTCGATATAAAAAATGAAAAATACATGAAATAGTTGGTATATAAAGTTTCGAAACTATCGTAAGTTTGTTTCAACAAATTAAAATAAATTCAAGTCCACGATTAAAAGTCTGAATGCGTAAAACACAAATTGTGAAGTTTATCAAGCGAAGATAACGACACTACCGGAAATCACGATCCATTCTTCTTGATCTCGTTGCAATCTGTACAATAAAACAACTTTTACGTAATCTTTAAATATTCCATTGCGTGTTACAAGAACCTGAATAAATATCTATTATGGTGAATTTCCCATCCACCTGTTAACTTTAATTTTCCGTGTGATAATCTGTAGAAATGCAAATGCGCATACGTTGTCCAATTCATTATTGAACGTTTCTTTAATATATTTTGTTTAACGGACAGTCATGTTGGTCAATGTGTATAATTTGAATTGCACAAGATTTTAAAACCTAGAAAATGTTAAATGTATAAGGTATCGTAAATATCAATAATTTACGAAGCGTTATTATTTTTCACTAATAAATTATATAGTAATAACACTATTACTATTAAATTTTAAAAGATATCTATATTTTTGACACACTTTAGGAGATCTGCTATTTAATAGTTTAAAAGAAATATATTGAATATCGTGATGAGTAATAAAAACAAAAATTTGGGCAATTTAATTAAGCGGAATATACTTTCGAATTAAGTTGTTCAATAATTATTTACGACAGTATCATGAATTCTTTATTTGATAAATGAGAAAATGATGCATTAAATTTTAATATTAACATTTTTAATGAATGTTTATCATTTGAGAGACGTTTATCTTTAATTAATTAATCATCGTCACTTTTTACATTAAAATTGACGAATGTTGTAATTTTCTCTATGACTGTGCATTCAAGGTCGAATAAATGTAGCCTCAGTTGAAATAGCGTAACATACGATAATTGCACTACGTCAGTAACTTATTTATTGTTAGATGCAGCTGAAAATAATAGAATTTCTTTCTACAATATTCTTATTGTCGTAATAAAACCCCTATTGAGTCCTTAATTGAAGTTATTTCTGTGCAGGATGAAAATATAAGATCCGCGCTGTTGCAACTCGTTTCTATATATAATATTTAATTTGATAATTTAAGATGACGAAATACAAACATTTAGAAGAGGCACTTGACTCTTGCGTCCTTTAAAAGTTACACATTGAAAGTAGCTTCTTCGAGTAGAATGTTACTACGTTTTTATTATAATCTATCACAGCGAATACATACATTCCTTTACATCATTTCTAAGATTATATTTTCCTACTGATTAAAAATTGTGATGAAAGTCATTTTTAAGGTTTTGTAATTCTTATATCACGAGTGGCTCTCTAGCAAATAAAGTTGCATTTTTATGCAATAATAAAGGAAATAAAGACGTCAAAATAATGGAACTCGAACAATTAACGTTTCTATAAATCATTAAGATAAATAGTAACTCTTATGATTGATATCTTCGCATGCTTGGTATATTTTTGTACATTCTTCTATGACATTTACAATAGTTTTGTTTACAACAGGAATAATTCGGGGGTAATGTAACGAAGATTTAATTTCATTTGTTTCAATAATTTCCTGCTAAATATAAATTATTTATTTGGGTCATGATAAATCTATAGAGATTAAAAATAGCATAAATTCACACGAATACTAAAGAATATTATACCACATCTATTAAGAAGCAGAAATAACAATAAACTTTAGTAAGTTTTGTATATAGTAAGCAGTACAATATGTTATTGTTATGTTTTCAGTAACTAAAAAGTTAGTAAGCGTTTCTTCTAATTATCGATTAATTAATCATTAATTTGCACACTTTGATAAAATCGTTATCACAAACACACTATCATCACAAACCGACCAAACTATTTATATGCTCGTATGCTGGTACATTTCAGTAAAACGCGTTACGCGACTGTATTTCCTGCGCGAACCATTAGCATTCTGTCGATTTACAAGATACATAGAAAGAGCGGTGGACTTAATTTCGCCAGCAGCATAAGAGAACGCGGCGATAATTGCACAGTTAATTTGCTTAGCCGCGAATCCTGGTAAAAAACGTGTGAAATTGCAGAAATGTCAACGAGCCTGCGTTGTTTCGTTTGTACTTCTTGCACGCGGTTTCCGACACACGATATCACTGTACGTTGACAATATGCTCGTGCCAGATGCGCAATTACATCACGATAATCTTTCTGTACCGACAACAACATAGAAAACGTGAGTAGACGTTGAGAATCACCACTTCATCTGCTTTCATCGGTCTATTCGACGAGCTTTTACCATCTTGTTGACGAAGGTAGCGATGGAAAAATCAGATGGAAAGATCTTGTTTAACGAATATGACGGAACATCAGTTAACTGGACTTGAGGCCAACTTGGTTGAGTTAAAAGACGATTGATAGTAGTACTGTGTACGTATGTACATATTTGTTGATTATGTCAGTGTAACTGGGAATATTGGTTGATAGGATGTGATTTTGAAACATCTAGGTTAATCATGTATAGTTGTTAAGAATTTTTGCAAGTATAATCATACATCATCTGATCTTAAGTGATGAATTTGACTCGTCATGGCAATACAATGTTTACAAATAATGATAGTAATCGTCATATGCGAAGTATATAATGTCGAATTAGTCTCAATTAAATCGTACGTCAAGGAGTTAATTGGTGCAAATATTTGATATCATTTTGATCACACGAATCTTAGCAATTCGATTAAAATCATCTTGTAATTATAAAGTGAATCATAAGATGGCAATAGAACGTGACTTTATTGCTGTTCGCTTAAATGGCTTAAATGGGAAAAGACGAAAAAGGATGTAAAATAAAATAAACAAAGATGATTAGTAACTTGATAAAATAAGAACCTATTCTAAGACCTGTAATAATTCTTTTATAAAGGAAAAAGTAAATGCTTTTATAAAGAAGATGCTGTCTTTTGTACATATGCATATATTTTACTTTGAAATATTATCGTATCATTTCAGGTATTACACAATTTATAGCTTTTGCGTATTTCTCTTCTGCGATAAAACATTCTCGTGGTTATTAAAAAAAAATATGGACAAGTACAACGATTTCTCTTCTCGCATATTTTATTTTTTAAGATCTTTTTATATACATGTTTGGTCCAAGATGAAGAAATAACTCCTACAGACATTTATTAAGAATAGTAATACGTATTAAACTTTTAAACCCTGTTTATTTTTTAAGTCATTTTTAGCACTCAACAGTTGCAGCAGAAGTATCTGTTTGATCTCACACATTTTTTTAATCGATTATACAAGAATAAGTAACACATTCAAGAACGATAATAACATATTATAAAGGAATAAAAAAAGTAACGAGGAATTTTCCATAGTCGCGTAAAAGGAAATGCATTTACCGACTTGTACGTTACCATACTTAATAATGCGCGTTTATCCTTTCTCTTCAAATGATGTAA